TGTGACAATCCAGTCTGAATCAAAATCCTGAGAAGAACAAATGGTCATTTCCCTGAAGTCCATCCATAAAACTGATGGACTTATGTCAGCCTCCCCAGCAATATAAGTTATCCTAAGAGATATGCAGCAAACTGGACACACTTACAAAGCTGCAACCATTCACCTTTCCCTGGCTTCTCTGTTTATATTCCATTACTACTAGGCCTCACCTCTCATGGAATGGTTGAAAGTACTCAAATCAGAAATACAAAGCATCTTAGCACTAACATCTTCACTGACTCACCCAAGCAGTGAACAGATGGTGAGGAATAGACACACATGGGCCAGATTCAGGAGCTACCTGTCCTCGGAGTCTGTCTGCAGGAAACCAGAGAGCAAGCAACTACTGGGAAGGCTAAGAGTTACAATGCCAGACCCATGGAAGCACATGACCAAGTGAGCGAGCCCCTCCCACCATGGGCCTTTTATGGGGGCTTGCAGGAGTGCCTACATAACCATGCAATACTGCCTTCTCTCGGGTTCCAGGTGATGACAGATGAGTGTCACAGGTGAACAGAAGGGACCGCATAGGTGGGGATGTGGAGGAGCGGCTTCCAAACTCACAACCCTGAACTAGCTGCATATTCCACAATAAGATGTCTATTTACATAATTTCTCATGGCTCTACTACCTTATCTATAAAACACAGTTGTAACCACTTGCAAAAATTTGCTTTGACAAGTGAAGATAATGTACAAGAGGACTTTAAGCAGCTCACAGAAATGTATATTAAAAAAAAAATCTTGGGCCCAGTGCGACAGCCTAGTGTTTAAAGTCCTCACCTTGCATGCACCAGGATCCCATATGGTCGCTGTTTCTAATCCTAGCATCCCTGCTTCTCACCCATCTCCCTGCTTGTGGCATGGGAAAGCAGTCAAGGACAGCCCAAAGCCTTGGGACCCTGCACCCGCGAGGGAGACCTGGAAGAAGCTCCTGGCTCCTGGCTTTGGATTGTCTCAGCTCCACCCATTGCAGCCGCTTGGGGAGTGACCCATCGAACAGATCTTCCTCTCTGTCTCTCCTCCTCTCTGTATATCTGGCTTTCAAATAAAAATAAATAAATCTTTTAAAAAAATCTCATGCATAAAATTCAAATTTTCTCTGTACCAAAATAAACTCAAGGTAGGTTGTATTATCTTTGAACAGAACTCAGTTTGAGACACTAAGAAGGATAAAACATCAATTCAAAAAGAACTCTTATCTGAGTAACAGATTTTGCCAAATCTGAAGCTAGGACAAACATGAAATTTATGGTGAAGCTTGGAGGGAACAATGATGAAATTACTGATGCGTTAATAAAACTGTATAGTGACAATGACCTGCGGAAATCAGCAGTTTGTAAATGGGTAACTAACGCTTACTGAAATGAGCCAGTCCCCAAAGAGAAACATCATGTTTTCCCTGACCAGTGTTAACAGGGCACAAAAATTTGTAATCTCAACGGACAAGACTGATATTTTGAAATTTGAATATCATTTACTCCCTTGTATACATCCTTAAGGAACAGCTGGGGATTTTTTCCATTTGCTATTTGTTTAAGCAAATATTATAGTGTTGAGCCTGTGATACCTAACTGAAATGAAACTTGGGCCATTGTAAAAATTTAAAAAAAAAGAAGAAGAAGAAGAAGGGGTGGATATAGACGATGGGCGAGATAAATAATAAGTCTGTATGGTAAAATTTGTGACATTTGTTCACTTTATATAAATAATTTAAAACAATTTTTTAATGAATAAGATGAATCTGAAGAGTAAGGTCACAGTGGCAGACCATCCACATCAATTTTTGAGGAAATTTTTAATCTTATTCACAGCCTAATTGAACAGGATTTCTAGTAGAAGCAAAGCCAAAACCAAATATATCACTTTAGTTCAAATCACACAATTCTGACTTTCTGCTTGACTGGGGTAAAACCATTTTATAATAATCAGCTGCAGACACAGCTTTCAATGAAAATCCTGTTTTCTCAAGAAGACATAAATACAGAAAGAAAAAAAAAAGGCAAAGTTCCAGACATTCCTTTACTCTAACAAAATATTCCCTACAGCAGGGACTGGACCATGACAAACCCAACCCCAATGTCCCAGACAGACAGCAGAAACCCAGCCAGTTGAGCCATCAGCAATGCCTCTTGGGAACTGCACCAGAAGCTTAAACTGGAATCAGGAATGAAAGCCAAAGACCCAGCCCAAGGCACTCCGACAGGGAACCCTGGCATCCTGGCCCCCAGGCCAAACGTTCACCCTTCAGTGAAAATGGTAAAGGTCGGTCAAGATCTTAAAGAATAAAGAATCATAGTGGGACATATCAGTGCAATCCTGAAAACAAAACAAAATCACATCCAATGGCTACCAACAGGTGGAAATGGCCAAAAGCAGACCAAGATCAAAGATTTTGGCAACTGTTGTTTTTTTGGAGGGGAAGGGTTTGGGAACTGGAAAGGGAGGAAGCTAAAGCATTTGCTTGTTGACTCTGATAACCAAGGAACAACAAATGCTTGTTTTCAGAGTGTCTTAACAAAGTTAGCCAAAGCTGCAGCAGAAAAACACCTGGGAAAGTTCCACTAGCGAGTCCTCCACCAAAACATTCCTACTCAATTATCTCATCAAATAAGGACCATTTTGCAAGTTTCCATAGGAGACTATTAGGCATCCACCTTACAATCCAGACTTGGTTCTCTGGGCCCTATACTTTACATTATTTAAAGTTGGGTACTTCAAATTGAAATTATACAGCCATTGGAGAGCATGTTACACAACATTCTATTGCCATTTGCCAATGGCAAAACACAAAACATATCTAAATTTTATTCCATGCATTTACCATTTAGGAAGTTCTTTAAAAATGCAGGCATGGGGCCTGGCGCGGTGGCCCAGTGGTTAAGGTTCTCGCCTTGCACACCCCGGGATCCCATATGGGCGCCGGTTCTAACCCGGCAGCCCCTCTTCCCTTCCAGCTCCCTGCCTGTGGCCCGGGAAAGCAGTGGAGGACTGCCCAAAGCTTTGGGACCCTGCACCCGCGTGGGAGACCCGGAAGAGGCTCCTGGCTTCGGATCGGCATAGTATTGGCCTTGTGCTCACTTGGGGAGTGAATCATTGGATGGAAGATCTTCCTCTCTGTCTCTCCTCTCTGTATATCCGCCTTTCCAACAGAAAGAATAATAAAAATAAATCGTTAAAAAAATGCAGGCATGCTGGCACAATCGCCAGTTGGCTAAATCCTCACCTTGCAAGCAGCAGAATTCCATAAAGGTGCCAGTTCATGCCACTTCCCACCAAGATTCCTGCTTGTGGCCTGGGAAGACAGCAGAGGACCACCCAAAGCCTTAGGACCCTGCACCACATGGGAGAGCAGGAGGAAGCTCCTGGCTTTGGATTGACTCAGCTCTGGCTATTGTGGCCACCTGGGGAGTGAACCAATTGGAAGATCTCTGTCTTTTCTCTCTATAAAATCTGATTTTCCAATAAAAAATTAAAAATAAATCTTTTTTAAAAATGTAGGCATGCTGCTTTTAGAAGCATGATTGAAAAAAATTTTAATGTTACATATTGTAAAGACGGACAACCACATCACATTTAGAAATATTAATTTCTTGATATAATAGCAAAAAAGCAGAAATATTATGGATAACACAAAGTAATTTGTCACACAGCAATTTTGCCTAACCGATTTTTTTCCCTCTGCCTTCACTACTACTGTTCAATAGTTTTCATCTTCAAATGGTTTCCCAGCACAAAATCCAATTCCCAATCTTTTCCATTCCAGTTCAAACTTGATTTTCCACCTTATTTTTGTTTCCAATTTGGCTCTTATTCCCAGGAAAGGAAAACTCTTCTGTGAAAATATGCTTTCTACCCATTTGGAAAACAACTTCTCCAAAACCATTCCTGTCCATTATCATGGCCATTTCTTAAATCCTCAATTACTTCACTTTTTTATCTTTCATTTCTTATCAGCTGGATCTCCTTTATCCATGCAGTATCTCCTTTAAAACACTATTTCTAAAATCAATCTAATCTTTGTCTTAAATATAATTTGTTGATGTAATTTTAAGTTTGTTTTTAAAAAGTTTAACAAACTCTTTATTAGATATTTTAAATAAACTAGTTCTTCAGAGTTCTGTTTGTGGTACAGGATATTCATTTTTTATTTCAAAACTATGTTAATCAGGCCTGAATTAGGCAGGATTTTCCAACGTAAAAATCTCTGATTAAAGTTCAAACTTTTACTGTGACTCTTTGGGATTTAACCCGAAAGAGCACAAGCATGGGTACATCTTTGTCTTACTGTAAACCAAGACACACGTTAAATGTTATTTTCACCAGATTTTCCCACTTTCGCATTATTCTTACGGCCCAGGGACTTTCACTCATTCTCACCTGTTTGCTTTTTTTTTAAATTCTTCTCCCACTTTTCAGAAAGCTTTCTAAATTAGATAGGAGAGCTCCCTTGGAGATTCTTCTTGAAGCCTACTGAAGCAAACCTCTAGCTCAGTCCTCACTTGAACCACCAGAACAGGCGGTCGCGTTCAAGCACTGGAGCCCAACACTGGAGGGCGCCTCTCAGTGACTTCTCACGGAGCCTTCTGGGGCTTCCCCACCGCCCTACACGCTCTTCTCAGGAAACTTCAGCCTAAGTGGCATTTTCTCGGGGTGTCAGGGAAACTGGGCCCTCACAGAACCTAGCAGGCTCAGCCCGCGGTCATCTCACCTGGCCGCGCCGGGCAGCCCGCCTGTGACTGGACACAGGATCCCCAGTGACGCGGGCCGGCCGGCACCGCGCGCCTGCGCCTGCGCGTGAGCAAAGGGGCGGGGCGGAGGTCCGAGTGTTGACGCGGGCGGGGCAAGGGGCGGAAGGGCGTGGCGAGTGGGCGCGGCGGAGGGGGCGGGCCTTGCAGGCTCTGCCTGTGTCCTGCACTTCCTGCTGGTTGCGCCTTTTGAATCCGGGTCGCCGGGACTCGCCTGGGTGTCTGCAGCCGGACTGCTGCCGGCATCGTCCGTGACAGCCCGTCCTGACTCAGCCGAGGGCCCGGCTCTGCGCTCGGCCTGCGGGAGCCCGGCCGCCCGCAGCCGGCGCGCCTCCTCCACCTGCGGGCTCGCAGCCCCGAACCACCTGCTGGACTCGGCCCCTGGACGCCGATGCTAGGGGACTCCGCGGGCCCGGGGCGGTGGCGGCCGAGTGCGGGCCTCGGGCGCCCCAGCCTCGCCGCTCCTGCCCGGGCGTAGATGGATCCTCCTGCCCGATAGATGTGGCTGCTGAGGCGGTGGTGGCGGTGGCCAGTCCAGCTCTCTTCGGGCCTGTCTCGGGGCTTCCGCCGCTCGCGGCTTCTCCTCACCTCGACTCTGGCCTTGCCCCGTGGCCACCATGGACAAGATCCTGGAGGGCCTGGTGAGCTCCTCGCACCCGCTGCCCCTCAAGAGGGTGATTGTGCGCAAGGTGGTGGAGTCGGCCGAGCACTGGCTCGACCAGGCGCAGTGCGAGGCCATGTTTGACCTGACCACTAGGCTCATCCTGGAGGGCCAGGATCCCTTCCAGCGGCAGGTGGGACACCAGGTGCTCGAGGCCTATGCGCGCTACCACCGGCCGGAGTTCGAGGCCTTCTTCAACAAGACCTTCGTGCTGAGCCTGCTTCAGCAGGGCTACCACTCGCTGGACAGGAAGGACGTGGCCATCCTGGACTACATTCACAACGGCCTGAAGCTGATCATGAGCTGCCCGTCGGTGCTAGACCTCTTCAGCCTGCTGCAGGTGGAGGTGTTGCGGATGGTCTGCGAGAGGCCCGAGCCGCCGCTCTGCGCCCGGCTGAGTGACCTTCTGACCGACTTTGTGCAGTGCATCCCCAAAGGGAAGCTGTCCATCACGTTCTGTCAGCAGCTGGTTCGCACCATAGGCCACTTCCAGTGCGCGTCTAGCCAGGAAAAGGAGCTACGGGAGTATGTCTCCCAGGTGACCAAAGTTAGCAACTTGCTGCAGAACATCTGGAAGGCTGAGCCCTCCACACTGCTGCCTTCCCTGCAAGAAATTTTTGCAAGCATTTCTTCCACAGGTAAGGGCCACACTCCATGTCCTGGGCGTTCAGTGTGTGCCTCTAGTTCACACACACCCCGTGTTGTGTTTCCTGCACACAATCTGAAATGGAGATGGGCGACTGAAGCCCTCCTTCAACATTGTATTCCCATCATAAGAATGCCACCTTGAACTCTAAAAGCAAGGTGGGGTTCTGATTTTAAACATGTAGAGCATCCAGGTCCGAGGCTTCTGGCAGTGCAGGTTGCTCGAGTCGCCAGCCTGTCCTTAAGTTCTGGAATGCTTTGAGGATGACGGTGACTGCGTAAGGCTTGTAGTCATTAGTGAGTAATGGTAGCGTATTAATGTTTACTACGCGTTTTGTACCTGACTCTTTCATCTTGCAATCGTTTGTTTTCCTGTGTTTTTAACTTCTCTCATCTTAAAAAATCCTGGATTGTGCACTTTGTTTAATTACTGTGTTATCCCAGACAGCTTTTAAATATTGACAGTTTCCTGTCTGCTGCATGACAGAAGGAATACAGATACGGTGAAAGAAGGTGCAGAATGAGGTAGATGTTTTTGTGCCAGTGAGTTGCATTCTCAGAAATGAGAGAAAAGTGAGGTTTGGCTAGAAAATGGTTGGTTGCTCACCAAGGAGTTTCACCTTTTCATTTGCATTCTTCATTCTGCCTTGGAGCTTTTAGGCCCGTGGGTTGTGAAATAGTGGGTCCCGACCCATGTTTATTTCCACTGTGCTTGGCACAACCATTCACCCTGGTTGTGCCACCGTTGGCAACTTCCTGGATGTTTGAACTTTGTCCTCCTTTTGACTTATGAACCAGAAATAAGGATGAAGTTCTAACAAGCATCAGAAATTCTGATGAATTTAATACAATTATCAAAGAAGTACTGACTTTGCATTGGCAATATCTGAGTTGGGTTTTTTCCTTTTTTAAGAATTTGTAAATTGACTTGTTTGTGGCAGCCAAATTGTTAGATCTTCCTTCAGCTATTCAGCTGTAGCTGAACAGTACATATGCTCATCTTGGATTTGTTTAATTTCTAGTTTAAGCAAAATTTTCCCAAAATTCATCTTTATCTCTACTTTAAGAGACTATTTTTTAAAAACCTGCTTAGAGCAGTGTAGTGACTACTCTGATAGTTTTAACTTATTTTGGCTGAAAATTGAAATTGTCCCTTACGTATCTTTTCGGACTAACACTCTGCAAGTGAATGTTTTAGCACAGTGATAACATTAAAGAATGCAGAAAGAGAGAACTTTCTTTCTAAATGTGGCAGTAGTGTAGAACAATTTGTAACTCAGTGTCCTCTCTATAGAGTGAGTGAGTGTTGCTGTTGATTCTTAAATGTTTGTCTCCTGTTCCTGATTAACACCTTAGCTACAGTTATCTTACTCTATCTAGTAAAGTGTTGTTCTTTTATTTTGCTCAACTCTTCTTTCCATGTTCCTTTTTCTTCAAAATTAAAACCCCACCAGAGGCATCATTTGAGCCGTCTGTGGCGCTGGCAAGTCTCGTGCAGCACATTCCTCTGCAGATGATCACGGTTCTCATCAGGAGTCTGACTGCAGATCCAAACGTGAAGGACGCCAGCATGACCCGAGCTCTTTGCAGGTACCTGTGGAGCCACTACGGGCAGTGTTACAGATTTGAGAGGAGGCTACATTTTTTTTTCTCAGTAATGAGAAACTTAGAAAAATGGTTAAAGTTGAAATCAGTAATCAACTATATCAAGACTGTCTAAATTAATGGGAATTGTCTTTGTGTATCCATGCAGCTCAGTCACTGAAACATCCCTTTCCATTTAACTTTTCTTTAAAGGCAACAACAAACGTGTCATTTGTTAGAAAAACCAACAGCAAACATGTATCATTTCTTGTTAGAAGTTGGTTGGATTTCAATGCATCTCACCAACTTATTTTTTTGCTTATTTTTGTTTCTTCTAACCTGTATCTCACCTTTTGATCTGTTTGTTTTTGGGTTTTTTTATCTAGCTAAACACATATCTTATTTTTTCTTTAAGCTGTTCTCACTGAATGGTATTCTCTTTGCACTTGTCAGTTTGATATTTGTTTTCTCCCCCTTGTCATAAATAGATAATTTGGCATGATAGAAAATTCTAACTTGTTAACCATTTTCTCTTAGCACTTTGAGAAGCAATTGTTGTTGATGCAAAGTTGGCTGTTAAATCTGATGATCATTCCTTTATGAATAATCGGGCTTTTCTGGTAACTTTTGTGTGATTCTCATTCTCCTTAATGTTTTGCAATTTTTTTTTTATTGGAAAGGCGGATATACAGAGAGGAGAGACAGAGAGGAAGATCTTCCATCCAATGATTCACTCCCCAAGTGAGCACAAGGCCAGTGCTATGCCGATCTGAAGCCAGGAGCCTCTTCCGGGTCTCCCACGCGGGTGCAGTGTCCCAAAGCTTTGGGCCATCCTCGACTGTTTTCCCAGGCCACAGGCAGGGAGCTGGAAGGGAAGAGGGGCTGCCGGGATAGAACCGGCGCCCATATGGGATCCCGGGCATGCAAGGCAAGGACCTTAACCACTGTGCCACCGCGCCGGGCCCAGCAATGGTATTTTTTTATCTCTGTTGCTGAAATAGCACTAAAATTTTTTGTCTTGGATGAATATATCATAAATTTTAATTTCCCGTTAGTAAACAGAGTTATTGATTCAGGGACTGGCATGGTTTCTCAACAGGCTAGTCCTCCACCTTCAAACACCAACATCCCATGTGGGTACCAGTTCATATCCCAATTGCTCCACTTCCAATCCAGCTTTGTGCTTGTGGCCTGGGAAAGCAGTGGAGGACAGCCTTGGGACCCTGTACCCATGTTGGACACCCTAAAGAAGCTCCTGGCTACTGCCTTTGGATTAGCTCAGCTTTGGCCGTTGTGACCAGTAGGGGTGTGAACCAGTGGGTGCACAGTCTTTTCTGTCTCTACTCTCTGTAGATCTGCCTTTCCAAAATAATAATAATAATTAAATAAATAAATCTTTAAAAATATATAAATTCTTTTGTCCTTTGTCTTCATTGCATAGGTGATGAAGTTATATATCCCGTATCCAAAAGTCTTATGACCTGAAGTGTTTCAGATTTCAGAGTTTTTTAGATTTTTGTAACATTTTCATATACTTTTTTGTTGAGCATCTCTAATAGCAAAATCTTAAATACTCCAACATCTAAAACTTTTTTTGAGTATCATGCCAATATTCAGAAGTGTTGAAATTTCACATTTTGGGAAAATCACCTATAATAACTATCATTTTTTTCACCTGAGATGAGTTTTTGAATATTTAGTACAGCCTTTTGAGGAAGATATTATTATTGACCTCATCTTATAGTTGAGAGAACCATAATAGGTTAGAAGTTACCTAATAGGTTACCTAATCTCAGGCTGATTAGTAAGTGTGGGCTTATTATTTGAATTTTAAGTCTAATTTGCATCCTACTTATAGTCACTAACAAGAAAACGAACTAAGAGTAATCAGATTTCTGAGGGTCACTGTGAGAATCAGAAGTTGCCTCATGTCCTAACATTGGTTTTTATTTTTATTTGCTTTTTGTTTTTACTGCTGGTAACAATCTAGTTCCTGGATATCTGACCATAATTCTGATCATAAATAAAAAATTTCCAACTCTTTTGATTAAAGCACCAAATTAGTCCTTTGGAGTCATTTCCTAGAACGGTATTTTTCTTTCCCTGCTATTTTTGCAATAGTCTTTAAGTTGGTAGTTGGTCTTTTACCAGTAGTGGCCTTCTATTTTTTTGTTTGGATGAAGAAACTAAAAAGTTTTACTGTTTACTAAATCAAGTGCAGATTATACTTTTTGGCATTAAGCATTCTCAGTCTTCATTTTTTCCACTCTTTTTCCAAAATCATCATACTTTTCAACGTATATTTTGTTTTCAAACATAACAGGAAAATAACTTTTATTACCTTTTTTGTTTCTATGGAAAATTGTGAACAGTTTTTATATTGTGTTTCATTTTCAGTATACTTAACTAATAATCTAGCAGGAGGGATGCTTACTAGAAAATTTAAGCATAAAAGATAACAATATTTGTGTTTACCAAGTTCCCACTAAACACTTCTCCATGCTCTGCAGTTCTCTATACACAGCACTTGTGCTTCCCAGTCATAGTTTGTAATCCAAAAAAAAAAAAAAAATACAAATGTATATGCCAAACAGGTAACCTCAGAGTGTGAAATTGGCCAGGTGTTAAGGAAATGGGTTATATGAGCTCTTTCTAAAAGGGAAAGTTGATCCTCAACTCTAGTTGTTTGCTGCGATTAGGAAATTTGAACCCATGCTGCTTGCCTGACCCAATTTTTCAAAAGAAGCACAATATCAGTTTTCTATGTAAAAGTTGCCAAGTTTAAAACATTGAACCAAAACTGAGGCCCACAAGTTGCCATGTAATAGTAAAAGTTGGTTTTGTGTTTCATAAATTACAATTAAATCTATTTTGGTGCCTTTTATAATGGAACTGGTTTTAATGTTATGATCTTAAAGTTACATGGTGTTTTTAGCTATAGAAAGAAACATTTTTATTTAGTCAACAAATTTCAGTTTATACAAAATGCTCTTTGAAGTGCATGGATGACGACTACAATTAAATGCTCCTTAAATGCTAAGAAATGAAATCAGCATATCAGAGTTAGTAACCAATATATACTAGATGAGTTTTTATGGTAGTTGGGCCCGGCAAGATAGCCTAGTAGCTAAACTCACACTTTTTGCGCTGAGAATCCCATATGGGTACCAGTTTGTATTCCAGCTCCCTGTTTGTAGCCTGGGAGAGCAGACAAGAATAACCCCAAACTTTGGTAATACCCTGTGCCCCACATGGGACAACACCTGGAGGAAGTTCCTGACTCCTGGCTTCTGATCCACTCAGCTCCAGCCATTGCAGCCACTTGGAAAGTGAACCAGTGGACAGAAAATCTTTCTCTGTATCTCCTTCTCTCTGTATATTTACCTTTCCAATAAAAATGAAGTTTTAAAAAATTTTATGATAGTTGACCATAAAAATAATTCCTTTTACATTACCTGTACCTAAGAAGAGTTGAGCACTTTTAAGTTCAATCAAATTGAAGCAGAACTGGAACATTCCATTAAAGCCAAAAGATGACTTAAGTACCCGTGTTACAATTTGATAATTGGATTACTGTTAGTAAATTTCTTAACTTTTCATTTGGAGGGTTAAAAAATTGCAGAATATTTTATATTCGTAGCGCAAAGCAGTATACTTATTATATGATATCATACATGCTGTATTACCCAGGTAAATGATAAACATCTAACTTTGGACTGCTATTAAAAATACCTTTGGGTAATTTATAAATAATAGAGGTAACAGTTAATAAAAGCTGAGAAGTTTTAAGATCGGAGTACAAACCAGCTCTGTTTGGTGAAAGCCTGTCCCTAGTAGATAGTGCCCTTTGCGTCTCCACGTGCCTCAGTCTCTGAATAAGAGCACTGGACCACGCAGGACCACTCTGTGCTGATTGACAGGGTCATCTCCCAAAGGTCCCACCTCTTAATAGCACATCGGAGATTAGAATTCAACATGAGTTTTAAAGGAATACATTCATACCCTAACAGCTTCTAATTTATGTAATAATAACTTATGATTTGAAGCTTATTTAAGGTTAGTGAGGAGATTGCTATGTAAGGAAATCAGAAATGGATATAGTGTAGAGGGAAGGGACCAACTGAGTATTAAGGATAATGAAGAGCCATGGCCAAAGGAGTTTTCTGCTTCCTACCCACTCTTACACTTTCCCAGTATTAGACGGAGCCAACAGAACTCGAGGCCTTGAACCCTGTTTCTGTTATGGCAGTGCTACAAGGCAGCACATCCAGGTGGCTATGGTACTCACTCATATACCTCCTTAGACTACATCATTTTGTGTGGGTGTACCTGTTTATACTCCATGATTTTTGTATAAACAAAAAGTATTCTTATTACAGCTCTCTTTAATTTAGCAGTACCATTTTTTCCATTTTATATTCTCATGGATAGATTAATATGGATTTATCCTTTTCTTAAAGATGTATTTGAAAAGGAAATTGACATAGAGGGAGACACAGAGATCTTCCATCCACTTTTAACTCCATATGGTCACAATGACCAGGGCTCAGTCAGGCCAAAGCCTCTAGGGCTCTGCTTGGATCTCCCAAGTGAGTGGCAGGAGCCCAAGCGCTCCCGAGATGATAGGGCCGTCTTCCACTGCCTTCCCGTGCATATTATCAGAGAGCCACAACAGAAGCAGAACAGCTGGACTCCAGCCAGGATTTTGACAAGGGGCAGTACCACAAGCACTCACACAACTTTTTGTTCCATGATGCTGGCCCTTATTTTTTAAAACTCTCCATAAGTATTCTATAGTATCAGTACCACAGTATATCTAACTATTTCTTTATTAATCCTCACTTAAGTTTGTTTGCAAGTTTTTAAAAGTAATGAACAGTGAATATTCTTTATATGCAAATACAGGTATGTCTCTGTCTTCTTATGCCCTATATGGAGAATGACCACACAATTTTATACGGATCAGCCTAAAGGTAGTTGGGTGCTGTGGAACAATAGTTGGGGACTAGATCAACTTATATGAGCAGTTGACCTTGATTTCCAGAATTGGTGTACAAGTCTTCATTGCAGTAAATGTTTAATTTTAAGGACAACCACCAGAAAACCTCATATTATTTTTGGTTTATTCCTTGAACTAATCAAGGAATTGATTAATTATTATTCATGAATAAAATTATACACTGCAAAATGTGGCCATCAGCATATATATTCACTCAGTACTTTTTTGAAAGTAGGGAATTTCTTTTTGTTGAATTTGAAAGTAGCATCTACTTGTTTTATAATTCAAAATATAAGCTTTGTAAAAGTAAATAAAATATAGTAACCAGGAAGCAGAAATCTTGGTTCATAACCATATCTCTTACTGTAGATACCTGTATTTTAATTGCTCTTCTTAAAGCATATTTGCCTAATACAGTCTTTTTAAAAAAAAACTTTATTTATAAATAGTTAATAAAATAAACTGTGTATTAGTAACTTTATTTATAAATTAATTTTATTATTACTGACCTGTGTGAAAGGCAGAATAACTGCCAGCTCTACCTTCAGACCAGAGATGGTCTCCCCAACAAACCGTTGAATTTATCTGGACAATAAGATGCTGGACTCTATGCTTGATATAGGTATGCAAAGAAAGAATCTTGACTGAATTTGAAATGTAATACTGCAACAAGGTGGAGGAATCCACCATGGGGGGAGGGCATGGGGAGGGGCTGGGGGAATCCCAGAGCCTATGAAACTGTCACATAATGCAATGTGATTAAAAAAAAAAAGGCAGAATAAGAAGAGAGGTAGAGATGTCTTCTACTGGTTCACTCCCCAAGTGGCCACAATAGCCAGGGCTGGGCCAGGCCAAAGCCAGGAGCCAGGAACTCTATCTGTTCTTTTTAGACTAAATTTGTATGGCAAGTCCTTCATACTGTTGTGTGGCATAAATTCAGAATTTCACATCTGAGAAATGATCATTTGTCAGAAATTAAGAAACTGTCAACTTATGTGAAGGAAAGCTCCTTGTAGACACTCATATCTGTATCTTGGTCAGTGCATGTTATTAGCAGGTTCACTAAACTCTCAGTCACAAAGTAAGTGGATTATCTAGCTCATCTCCCACCTAAGTGATGAAAATGTATTCAATACTGTTTGGTTTTCCTTCAATTTTCAGAATGATTGACTGGCTCTCCTGGCCATTGGCTCAACATGTGGATACGTGGGTAATAGCACTCCTGAAAGGACTGGCAGCAGTTCAGAAGTTTACTATTTTGATAGATGTCACTTTGCTGAAAATAGAACTGGTAAGTGGGAGTTTATAAAGGTACTTGAATGCATGGAATCCTATATCAATATATTCATCTTTGTGTTATCTCCTTTAAAACATCTAATTTGATATGTTTTTATTTGGGGGGCTTTACTTTTAAAAGGATTTAGAAATTTTAAAATGTCATCTAAGCCTTAAGCAATTAAGATAATTTGGTTCCTTTCAGATATCTGATACAGAAGCGTGTTCCTCATATATCTTGAATTCAAGTAATCAAGGACTTTGAGATTTTTGTTTTTGTTTGTTTGTTTGTTTAAGGCTTATTTATGTATTGCAAAGATGAAGTTACAGACAGGGATAGACAGAGAAAGAGATCTTCCATCTACTAACTAGTTCACTCCCCAGATGGCCACAGTTCAGGCTGAGCTCGGCTGGAGCCAGTAGCATCATCTGGGTCTCCCAGATACGCAGGCCATCTTCCACTGCCTTAGACTGTTAACAGGAGCCAGATTAATGTGGAACAGCCAGGAAATGAACCTTCTGCAAAGGGGATGCATGCAGGTAGTGGCTTGATGTGCTACACCACATCACTGGCCCCTACAAACAAGTTTATTGAATTACTCTAATGCAAGATTTATATCTCTAGCTCTTTATTCTCCTTTGAACTTCATCTTCATATGTTCCAATTGTCTATTCTGGGTCTCCAATTCACCTTACACTCTAACTCCTGATTTTTCCTTTCCAAATCTGGTGGTTTTCATCTTAATAAACCATTCCACTTGATTAGGTCAAAAACTTTGAAGCCATCTTTGTCATTTTTATTGTCTTTCAATCTATATCATAAAATCCTGCTGACTCCACCCTTAAAATGTTTACAGAATCCAGTCACCAGCACTCTGATCCAACGTCATCATTTCTTCCTGTGTGGACTGCAGCACCCTCCCTGAACCTGCCCCTGGTCTGCTTTGGCATTACATACATCCTGGAGGCGAAGGACTACTTCTGTTTATCTGATTTCATTCTATTCTGCCTCTCGCTTTCACTTAGGCTGTTCTTGGTATAAATTTGAAAGGCAGAGTTACAAAGCGAAAGGGAGAGGGCCCGGCAGCGTGTCCTAACAGTTGAAGTCCTTGCCTTGAACACACCGGGATCCCATATGGAGGCCGGTTCTAATCCCGGCAGCTCCACTTTCCATCCAGCTCCCTGCTTGTGGCCTGGGAAAGCAGTTGAGGACGGCCCAAAGCCTTGGGACCCTGCACCCACGTGGGAGACCCAGAAGAAGTTCCTGGATCCTGGCTTTGGATCAGCACAGCACCGGCCGTTGCGCTCACTTGGGGAGTGAATCATGGGACAGGAGATCTTCCTCTCTGTCTCTCCTCCTCTCTGTATATCTGACTTTCCAATAATAAATAAATCTTTAAAAAAAAAAAAAAAGTGAAAGGGAAAGGCAGAGAGAGTTCCTCTGTCTGCAGGTTCTCTCTCTAGATGGCCACAGTTGCTGGGGAGCTAGGGCTGGGGCTGTGCCAGGCCAAAGCCAGGAAGTAGGAACTCCAGCAATTTCTTCTACAGGGATGGCAGAAGCCCAAGTACTTGGGCCATCTTCCACTAATTTCCCAAGGGCGTTAGCAGGATACTGGATTGGAAAAGGAGCCACGCAGACGCAAAACTTGCAGGATGACAGCATTACAGAAGGCAGCTTAATCCACTGTACCACGACACTGAACCTACGTGATGCATTTTTTTAAATACCCAATGTATATAAAACAGCAAACCCGTTTTCTAACCAGTATTTTCTACTCATCACACCCTGCTTTACATTTTTATAACGCTTATACCTTATGTTTGCTTTTGTCATCTCTGCCAGCCTCTAAATGGTAGGTTCAGTAAGAAGGAGATAATTTTTTTAGATCCACTGTTGTTTCCCCAGTGTCTAGAATATTGCTGAATAGGAAGAGCTGAAAAAGTATTTGTTGGGTGAATTCAATCACTAGTGAACCAAAAAGCTAACCCATTGTAAACACAGTTTGCCAGGTTTTAATTTAGCCAAGGCATTTTAAGACTTGGTTAGACCCCTACTCTCCCTTGTCTTCATCATGTTATTTCCTAACTTTCTCCTTCCCCCAAGTTTTAATACTGTTTGTTATGATAGAACTTTCTGGGATCAAGGGCATTCACACAAATAACTTATAATTCTAGGAGAATAACCATTGGGATTGAGGTCATGATTTTCCTATGTACTGTTTGAAATGAGTGTTTTCTCTTATCTTGAAGGTTTTTAATCGACTTTGGTTTCCGCTTGTGAGACCTGGTGCTCTTGCAGTTCTTTCTCACATGCTGCTTAGTTTTCAGCATTCTCCGGAGGCATTTCACTTGGTAAGTTATGCTGCTAGCTTTCTACATTGAAACAACTTGCTCTTCAAAGCTTAGTTTCCTACCGATCTCATTTATTCATAATGAAGAGATTACACGCTATTACTAAATCTTAGTATAATAGTAGTTTTATAATTTTTAGAAAATTAAGATTGTAAGAATTTCCTTAAAGGAACATGTTTTCAGAATAGCTTGCATTTCATCACAAGAGCCCCACTGAAAACTAGCAGATAAAGGTACTGCTATTTATGAGAAAGTGCCATTAATGGGATAGATAGCACATATATAAATAATGGGAAGAATTTAAATGGTTTGAAGCCACTGACTGCTTTAAATTTTTTTTATGTCTGATAAGTTTGTGTGTGTGTGTTTTTTTTTAAGGAATTTATTAATACATTGGCTTCTCAGGGTTGCAGAAAATGAATGGTAATTATAACAGAGTTCACATCAATTCTCACGTTAAAATGATATTAATCTAAAAAGAACAGACTCAGTGTTTATACATATACTTCTAAGAATATTTTTACACTTCTTTCTCTCCCACCTACTCTGTCCATTTCTTTATTTTTTAGTTTTTGAGATAACATTTCAAATTTAAGCTATAGCCAAAGGCTTAATGCACACTAATTAAATCAACAGGTAAAAAGTATAAAAGTATAAAGACCCCTAGATCATAGGGGAGTATAGACAAGGGCTATAAACAGTAATCAAATAAAAAGATGGCCATTTTGTGACAATATTGGTCTTTGCTTTACAGTGACAGATCTTTATACTTCTTCATTATGAGCCCATATCCTACATTTTATTGACTCTACCTTTAGCTATGTGTCACTAATACTACCACTTTAAACCAAGCATGCTAGTTTTGAAATGATTTTATTTCAGTTATTTGACTATTGTTATTTCAGCTGAGAAACAGCAAAATGTTTCAGAAACCTGTCCAGCTACGTATCAGAGCGTGACAGGAAGGTACTGCTCTTCCTGTCTAGTTCTTAAGTCTATTAATCACAAAATTGAGGGAACACTAATGAACAAATGCATAATTTCAATGGTTAATTTTTACCTAAAAATATGATTGACCTCAGAACCACAGAGGCTGCTTTAATGCTTCATTTCCACCAGAAGAGAATTGACAAGCTTTGTAGTAAGTACACCTTCCTAACAAGTGATTACATTGCACATGATCACTTAGGATGAGTGATTTCTCTACCTCATTGTCCTGATTTAGGTGAGTTTGGTCATCAGGCTGATAACCTTTTAAATCTATACATTGAACAAAACTCAAATTTGGGTTAATGTAACAAATGTACTGGTAAACTCTTCCAAAGAGAAAAAACATCAATTATTTCTTCTTGTCATTAATCATAACCATAAAACATTTGAGAAATGGCTTACTTTCAAATTTGCTAGGAAGAAGATGATCTAATATAACTTAGTTGTCGGTTCTGATGTTACTTGGTCATCACACTGAGGATATTCCTTAATCTCTTTGTTAATTATGTCACATGGCTGTATTCCAAACCTATCTTTTTGCATACAGGTGTTTTTTTTTTTTTTTTGGAAAAAAAAAGATTGAAGATAGGTCCTTTGAAATGCTTGACTTTAAAATATTTGAAATATTTAGTTTATTGAACTATATATTAAACCACTACTAGATATTAAACCATTGAACAGTCAAGTTCTAAAATTGAGGATTATGATCTGGCATATTGAAGACTAAAAACAAAGTTGTAGTCATTGCCTAAAAACGGGCTGCCCTGAGCTCATTTAAGTGTGTCTTGTGCTTTTAAATGAATTAAGACACTCACTTACAAGTGTCTTGTGCTATAATTCAATCACCCATGCTGCAAGCAACCGAGTCTCAGGTCGAGGGGTTGCCAGGCATGAGCACCAGTTTGGAATTAACAGTGCATTCTATGCTTAGAATATCTTAGTGCAAACCATAACTGCTGTATAATGTATGTTATGGATCAAATTGCTTTTCGTACGTACACTTTTTGTCAGTAGAAAATGTCTTTCTACTTATTTTAAATATGCTATGGCAAATAGCAGTAGTAGAAAAAGAAAAATCAAAGCTATTTATCAAATAAAGTTTATATCATTGATCAAATAATACCTTAGTAAATATTACAACATTTTCAAAAACTTACCCTCCAGGATTTAACCAGCTTGGAAGTGCATCTATATAACTGTTATTTCAGTGTCAGTGATAGTGACCATTTAAGATGTAAGCAGCTCTGTAACCTGATTACACAAACCAAAGATATACTAGAAACATTTTTGGAAGATTTAGAACAACACATCAATAGTCATTTTTAAAGTTCTTTTCTCTGTCTCCCTCCTTCCCTTTTACAGGGAGGACATAAAATAATTTTGGATTTCTGACTTTTAGGAAAAGAATATGTTATACATGTGTCTCTATGGAACAAAATTACAATTTGTATTTGCTTAAAAATATATATATATGGGGGCCTGGCGCGATGGCACAGTGGTTAAGGTCCTCACCTTGCATGCCTGGGATCCCATATGGGCGCCGGTTCTAATCCTAGTGGCCCCGCTTCCCATCCAGCTCCCTGCCTGTGGCCCGGGAAAGCAGTCGAGGCCGGCCCAAAGCTTTGGGACCCTGCACCCGCATGGGAGACCTGGAAGAGGCTCCTGGCTTTGGATCGGCATAACACCGGCCGTTGCGCTCACTTGAGGAGTGAATCATCAGACGGAAGATCTTCCTCTTTGTCTCTCCTCTCTGTATATCCGCCTTTCCAATAAAAATTAAAATAAATCTTTAAAATATATATATATATATGATAGCTACAGAGTGAACTCACAAACTGGTAATTTAATGGTCACATTCATAGCTTTGATGGAGGTTAGACTAAAAGAAGGTCCTATAAAAACCAAAATGTGATTTAAGAACTGAAGCACATAAGTAAAGATAGACCGTAGAATGGAAAAAAGCATCAATATTGCCTTTTACCATAACTAATATAAATTTATAATATCAGATTAGAATTAATGATCACTTAGGAAAGTTATAGCACTGAGCTAATGGCGTGAACTGTTTCTGTAAAGTTTATTTCAGATTGGTAATTAACCCCTTAAATATTTAATTAACCCTATGTCAGTTAACGTTTTAGTCTATAATTTTGTTGTGAAAGAGGATTGTCATACTGGTCATCAATATCAACAGTTTTCTGTGTATTCATAGATAGTGACTATTTTTTATTTCCATTTTATTTTTAGGTCTCATTCCTTAAAAATAATAAAAATTTCTGATTTCTTTTATTTAGAACCATATTCTTTTTTTCAAGACTGGGAGATGGGATTTGCTCTAAAACCTCTTCCATGTGCTTATTTAAAAGAAAAATAACTGTTACTTTAGTTTGTTTTAGTTATAGTTTTGTTATGTTATATTTCAGTCATATTTATAAGGTATTTCATTTCTTTTTTAATAATTCATTTTATTTTGTATGATGTTAACATAGTTGAGAAGAATTCATTCCCATGTGGACCATTGATTAGGGTATAGAGGGTAGAGGAATGGGGGAAAGTGGATGAGATAACTGTTTTCCAATCTCCTCTTTTTTTTTCTGTATCTGGGAAAATTGGGGAGAGAAGAGATGGCCATTTCCATCAGCCCATCCACGTCAGTACCCAGGAAGTGGGGACAGCCATCCGATGTCATCCCAGGGTCCCTAATGTGGAGTATGTTCTGAGGATATTGCTTCAGTGGTTTGAATAGTTCTGAGATTCTTTTGATTTCCTTGCTCCATGGTTGGAGAAATCCTTCCAAGATCAATGTGCCCAGGTACTCGTCAAAGCTTTACTGGGAGCACTGTCCAATTGTTATGCCCTCCATGGTACTAGACATCCTCTGCAGGCCACAGTGACTGGTTGTCATGTCCCCCATGAGTATCTGGGCCTGCTGTCCACTGCAGATTTCAACAACTGATAACATCCAGTTCTGACACATGTACTCCTTGATCCTGTGATTTTCACCATGGTTGAGGTTCTGAGCCCAGTGATCCAGTTGGGGGTTCCCCAAAGAAACCTCACCAGAGGTAACCCAACCTGACTTGCGTGTGCCAACTGCTACAGGGTTCCGCCCAGTCTGTAACCCACATCAGCCTACACACACAGTGGTGGCTGTAGTCACTTGTTCTGTTCTATTCCCAGTCACTTCTCTTATGCAAACCAGTAATGGTGCAGCACAGGCTAACTGTACCCACCCCACATGCTCAGCCCTTATGCATACAGTGGAAACTGCAGCCTAGTTGGAACAATCCCCAATAATTCCACCAGGTCCACCCCAAGCCCCAGTTCCATATGTGCAGCAGACTGGTCTGTTTGTGAAACAGAATAGATTTTAACCTGTCAGATATTGAGTTCAAACACAAGTAAATCTAATTATACAGTGTTTAGTTCTTGTAAGTGAAAAGTTTAAATTTGCACTAGGTGGAGCTCTTTAGCTAATTATATCATTGTGCTGTTTTGTTTAATCTATTCCTATTCAGAGATATAATCAATATTCTGACCCTAGTGTCTTTCAGCTCGAGCCATTTCTTATTTTCAACTTAATATTTTATTTACTACTTTTTCACATAGCATTTTTTGTTTACATTTTGGTAAAAGTCTTAAATGTTCCACAAAATAAATACTGGGACAAATAAAATGTTAAAAGACCATACTTGAACAGGGAAAAAGTTGCTGAGGAATAATCAGTGAAAATATGTTCAGCTTCTCACAGTGACAGCAGTGACTACAATGCCTGTATTGTCCCTTTGTTTGTGTTTTTAGATGCAGCACCAGGTTCAGGAAAGGATTCTTACATGGCATTATAATCAAATGGGACTTTGAAAATTATGTTTACCCTGATATCCTAAGAGATGCTTGTCTTTTCTTTTTTTCTTCAGGTTGTTCCTCATGTGGTTAATTTAGTTCACTCTTTCAAAAGTAATGGCCTGCCTTCTAGTACAGCCTTCTTATTACAGTTAACTGAATTAATACACTGTATGATGTATCATTATTCTGGATTTCCAGATCTCTATGAACCTATTCTGGAGGCCATAAAGGTATGATGGTGTTTGTACTAATATTTACAGAATTGCAGAATATGATGTAATGGATAAATGTGGTGAGACGTTCCTGTAATTATCTGGGCAGTTTGCTATTTTATAGTTCTGTGCTTTTTGTTTGAAAATGTAGTTAGAATCAGATTTTATTTATAACAGCTTTTGGAGAATTTTTTAAAGAAAAATTACAGTAATATATACTCATAATATATTAATATACTTATATATCCATATGTGTATAATGTATAATAATTTTATGATGCTTGTTTTATATAATATGTGTAATGTGTGTAATGAATATGAGGGTATATATTTTACATGAATATATTATGTGTAGATACATTGTTTATATATAAAATACATTATATGAACAATGTATCTACACATTATATATTCACATAATATACAGATATGTACGTATTTATATATGCAAAATACACATATAAATATATAAAATGTATCTATGCATAATATATACACATAGAATATATGTGTATGTATTTTTATATGATATATATTATATCTATGGCATATATCCAAAATCAGAAATATTTTGGTTGTTTTTCTTGTGTTTGTGTGTATTTTTTAAGGTTTATTTATTTTTATTGGAAAGGCAGATATGCATAGAGAAAGAAAGGCAGAAATATTTTCCATCTGCTGGTTCATTCCCCAAGTGACCACACAGCCAGAGCTTCTTCCAGGAGTCAGGAGCTTCTTCCAGGTCTCCCAAGGCTTTGGACCATCCTCCACTGCTTTCCCAGGCCACAGTCAGGGAGCTGGAAGGGAAGTGGAGCTGCCAGGACTTGAACCAGTGCCTGTGTGGGGTCCCAGGTGTGCAGGACGAGGATTTTAGCCACTAGGCTACCATGCCACACCTGTCAGAAGTGTTTAAATGCACAAAGTACAACTTTGAGTCCAGCAAGTATAATTTAATAAGTTAACTTTAATTCCCTCCCCTTTTAAAATATGTTTTGCCATTGGACCATTCGTGAATGTCCATATTTCATAAAATCTTTAGTTAAATAATCTGGAGTTACGCTTGTTTTCAACAGTGGATCCAAAAAAGCATTGATTCCAATTTTTTTATAAATGGTTCTCTATAGTTTCTCTCAATAAACTTACCACATGATCAGGATATAGCAGAAGAAATAGAGAATTTAACCAAGACAGGCTTAATCATAAATTATTAAAAATTAGTTGTATTGGTAATGCTAAACATACACATACACACACGTAATTTTTGCTTATTTGAAACTCAGAGAGCTCCTTCCTCCAGTTCAGTCCTCAATGGCCAGGGTTAGGCGAGGTGGAAGCCAGGAGCCAGGAGCTCAATCCAGGTTTTTCACTTGGGCAGTGGAGACCCAAATGCTTAAGCCATGACCCACTGCTTCCCAAAGTGCGCATTCATAGGAAGGTGGATGCAGAACCAGCATTCAAAACCAGGCACCGTTACATGGGGTGTAGGCATGCCAGACAGAATTACAACAAGCCTTCCACCAATAATGTGAAGTAGGTTTGAGATCTGAAATATGATCTGAATCCTCATTTCACTTACCTCTGCATCTGAAATGGATTTCAGATATGTATAGAATGGATTTCAGAATGTATAGTTGGATGATGACAGCTGATTTTGATTAAGCCTCAAATGCCAAGACTGTTACATGTTCAGTCTGTCATAGCAGTATGTTGCTTTGGCACTTCAGAGTAAACTATGTACAGGAGCATTCTATCATGAACTTTGATCATAGTTTTGTGTGTTGTCCCTTTGTCCATAGATGTAAGCTATTACATTTGTTCCCTAATTGTCCTTCTTCAGTTCTTCAGTGATTTTCAAGTTGAAAATTCTAGCCATTCTTAATTCAAAGAAAGCGCTTCCTACTGTCAACCAACAACAACCAGATTAAAATTCCTTCATAAAATGTCTGTTTTCTAAGGTCCAAGCACCAGATAGTATTAGCAGTCTGGAAAAGCCTTAATTATTTTATTAGTTCTTCCTTATTCTGAAGTGCTCTATTTATGCTTGAAATCATTTGCATATAAAATAGTATCTCGTTCTTCACAAAGTTGATCAGTAGAATGTTTAGTGCTGTAATAATTTTCTGTGTGATTAAGCATGAAATTGAGTTTTATTTTTTAGAAGCATAAGTCATTATATTTAGGTGCTTTTATTTGTAACCTCTTAATTACTTTGAGCTTTTATTTCTAAACATTAATTCTGAATAAATATTTGTACTTGGTGAAAATAGAACATTCTTTATTTTTATTCTAAAATTTGAAAATGATTTTTTGCTAATTCAGTTTTGTGTTAATTTCAGATTTAATTGCACTACAGTATATCCTCAGATCTTGAAAGTTTTACTTTGCAGACATTTTTTCTGGCAGATAGACAGATACTTCTGGAAGATAAACAAATACTTCAAATGTGATTTGAATCCCTGAGTCTTGAGTATTTGAATTTGATAAAGCTATTCTTTTGGGAAATAATAATTTTTGCCATGTGCAATTTACTTTGATTTTTTATTTTGTCATTATTAAAGCTAAGTCTGAGGAAATAAGGAAATCTGAGGAGAAACATGTTTATGTTGTTAATTTAATAACAAAATAGGTTTTACTTAAGAGCTATTTCTCTTCTTTATGATACAGGACTTTCCTAAGCCCAGTGAAGAGAAGATTAAGTTGATTCTCAATCAAAGTGCTTGGACTTCTCAATCTAATTCTCTGGCATCTTGCTTGTCTAGACTTTCTGGAAAATCTGAAACTGGAAAGACTGGTCTTATTAACTTAGGAAACACGTGTTATATGAATAGTGTTATACAAGCATTGTTTATGGCCACAGAGTAAGTTTGCATTTCAGCCTTCATTTTAATCAGTGTTGATGAACTATAAAATGGTGCATTGTTTACACTTTTTAAATTTATGTTTTAATTTTTTTTTTTTAATTGGCAAGGCAGATACACAAAGACAGGAGATAGAAAGGTCTTTCAATAACTGGTTCACTCCCCAAGTGGCTGCAATGGCCGGAGCTGAACTAATCCTAAGCCAGGAGCCAGGAACTTCTTCTGGGTCTTACATGCAGGTGCAGGGTCCCAAGGCCTTTGGCCATCCTCCACTGCTTTCTCAGGATACATGCAAGGAGCTGGATGGGAAATGGAGCAGCTGGGGTATAAATCAACACTCATGCAGGTGAGGATTTAGCTACTATGCCGTAGCACCAGACCATTTATGCATTTTTTTATGCATTACATAAATACTACTGTTTCTGTATATTTGCCTTATTCAGAAATGAAATTTCTTGTATCATGCTCCATATTTAGATGCCGTTTGTTTACAATTTTTTAAGTATACTTTAAATGCAGAGAGACAGACACAGAGAGAGATCTTCCATGAACTGGTTCATTCCCACAAAAGACTACAACAGCCTGGGTGGGCCAAGCTAAAGCAGGAAGTGGGAACTCCATCTGGGTCTTTCAGTATCAGTGGCAGGAACTTAAGTTCTTGAGCCATCATTCCCAGCAGGTACACTAACAAAGAGCTGTGTTAGAAGCAGGATAGCTAGGATTCAAACCGGCTTTCCTGGTAAGAATTTGGGTATCCCAAGTAGCAGCATAACTTGTGAGCTCCTTTGTAATAGTGTAACAATGGGATTGATTAGTTTCCAAAGAAATGCAAGGCCTGTGGAGTCCTTTTCTGTTATTCCATAGAACAGTGTATTTTTTTTAAACCTGTATATATTTTGAGAGTACCGTAGTTTGGTTTTATCTGCTTAAAGATATTTTTGCTCTTTAGAAGATCTAGCTTTTTGTTTTTGCTATTGTTTCGCTGTTTAAAGAAGTTAAAGTTCAACTTCAAATGCAAAATGGTAGTTATTGAACAAATATATAAAGCAGTCATTCTTTTGCCCCTTTATGGATTTACACGCATTCCATTTTCCCCCAGCAAGTAGGAACCAGGAGATGGTATAGAATGCTGAACGTGAAACTACTAAGCTTTCCAGAAAGAAAAAAAATGTGGCTGAATTTTTTCTTTAATGCTATTAAAGTATTCATGAAATTTGCCCAAAGATGTTTATAAATTGAATTTCAAGCTTTTAATTTTTTATATTATTTTTTGAATTTCAAGCTTTTATAAATTGTTTTGCCTGCCTAGAGGAAACAAGCCATTAGATGTAGAGTTAGTTATATTGTGTTTTTTTGTTCCAGATTATACCAACAGCACTAAGGTGTTTTGTGTTTGGTTTAGTGTTTTGTTTTTAAGTTTGCTTATTTTTTTGCTAGATTGTTTGTTTTGTTTTTAACAAAAATATGCCATTAGGCCTAGTATTGTGTTTCTAAATTTAAGACTGAAAGAATCTATGTCTCACCACTAGAGGTCTTTCATTTCAAACATCTCATTTTACAAATAATAGAAAAGCTCACATCCAAAACAGTTTTAACTGGCAAGAACAATTTGAAGGGTGTGTCTTATTACATAGTAATCAGTAGTACTATCTCAGAGTAGAATGATGGTGTATTTTATTTCTTGGGCAATAAATGAATTCTTTTTCGTGGCTTAAAAGAAAATTTAATCGAAATAAGCAAAAAATAAGATAATTCCGTTCCCAAAGAGAATTTGTTAACAAATTTGTTTATGTTGTTCTAATCTTTTCTTGTGTGTGTGAAAGTTACTTGTTCCTATCTAATAAACAAATGCAAAAATATCTTTAAGCAGATAAAACCAAACTATGGTACTCTCAAAATATATACAGGTTTAAAAAAAATACACTGCTCTATGGAATAACAGAAAAGGACTCCACAGGCCTTGCATTTCTTTGGAAACTAATCAATCCCATTGTTACACTATTACAAAGGAGCTCACAGGTTACCTAATGATACTTGCATTCTGCACATTTTAAAAATATATTTGCAGGGAATCTTATTTGTATATTTTTTTTGCAACCACTTCTTTTTATCATTTAATAATTTATGTTGAAAATATTCCAATGTCAGGAGAGTCCACATCTAATTCTGAGAATATGTATTTACATGCTTTATGTAACTATATTCCTGTTGAATGTTAGATAGTGTAGCTCATTATTGACATAGCTCTCTGTATATATACTGATGAGAGAGGATTTTCTTTGAATAGAGTATGCCAGCTCACTTTGCAGAGAAATTGTAGTATGCCCCTCATAGTTATATCAAGAGCAGCATTTGATAGAATCAATCTTCAGTTGTTTTCTATCTGATATGAAATTTTCTTTAAATTGTATACTGCTATACTCTTTTCATTTATATTTCTCTTCTAAATATGCTGTTCTTTTCTGTGTTCATCTATTTATCCTTTCATTTTTCATTATTTTACTTACAGTAGGTATGATAATCATGTTAAATTCTTTTCCTACAATCATATGATTCAAAATTGTGTAGCATTGTATTTATAAAGTTTTTTATGTAGACAATTCTGTCATTGTTCAGAAATAGTGTTTGGATTTTAGAAAGCCTTTTCCCTGTAAATTTCCCCTTACTTTTCTTTGAATAACTTCAATATTTTATTTTACATTTTGTTCATTGTTCCTGTGTGACATTTGTGAAGATATAAAAACTTATCTAACATCATTTTTAAAATAGATACCTAATTGTGCTCTTTTTTTCATGCTGTGATAGGAGCATGCTCTTTAAATCACTAAAACTTTATACTTTAGCAGCATATTTAAATTTGAAAGAATCTAGAAGTTGTCTACCTATAAATTAGTAATCTATTTCTATTGTTAATCAAGAAAATAAGATGAGAACACATAGGCCATTGCCAGGTTTGTAATGTGTATTTATCATCAATCTCTACTTCCTTCCTTCCATACCATAGGATCGATAAGTACCTTGTTAGATTAAGGACCTTCACATAAATGAAGTTTTACTTTTAAATTAATAGGTTTACAAGCCAAACTTCCTGTATCTTTTTTAATGCATGTCTTTATATACATGTTGTTCTCTTTCAGTTTCAGGAGACAAGTATTATCTTTAAATCTAAATGGGTGTAATTCACTAATGAAAAAATTACAGCATCTTTTTGCTTTTTTGGCTCATACACAGGTAAGTGTGTATATGCAGTGTGTGTGTGTGTGTGTGTGTGTGTGTGTGTGTATGTGATCATTGATAGTAGTCCATAAACTTCACATTCTCCCCAACCCTTTTAACTAGTGTAAGTCATGTATCTCATACCAAGAAAACTTAAGTAAAGTGTTGTCACGTTTGAGAATATCTGGTATCAGAACTATAAGGATAATTTTGAGTGAAGTCCCTATATAATTAAGAAAACTTTTTTTAATAATTAGTATGGTAACATTTATTGACAATTTTTCTCTAGTTCTTATGCTAAATCCGGAATCTCATAATCCTCAAGACAGTTTATCAAATAGAATGGTCTGTCCATTTTATTGAAGGGTTGGCCTGAGTAACCTGCTCAGGATCAGAATATGATCAACTCCAGCCCATGCTCAACCAGCAGTCTAACCTTCCTTCCCTCTAAAGGATACAGAAAACTTGAGTTAAAAGGTTTTGCTTTTGTGTGTGTGGGGGGGGGGGGGGTTGGTTTTGGTTTGGGGGGGTTATTGTTTGGTTTTGGTTTTTGTTTTCTTTTTTAACTGAGGATTCAGTTGTTTTATGCAAAAGATACTCACAATATTGGAAAAATTCCAAAGTTTCAGATTATAATTATCTTTTCATTTATTGTGACATAATCTGATAGTTGCTCCTGAATCTATGATCAACCAATAGACTAAATTTCCTCTCCACTTAAAAACATAAGTCAATAAGTTACCTAATGATACTTACATTCTGCACATTTATTGCATACACTTAGTCAAGGAAATTTTCACCTGAAGGACATATACATGACTGTATTTGTCACATTTAGTGTTTTTAAAAAATTATGAACCTCATATATGACTGTCATAGAGAAATAATACAAGGAGCTGTAGCATTAAGAGTTAGATCTGGGTTCTAATATAATGCCTTGTTAAACCTAATAGATTAAGATTTCAATTATTTGGTTCATACTGTAAGAATTACTTCTGTGTTTTTTCTATGGCTGACAAAAGAGGGAAGCATATGCACCTCGGATATTCTTTGAGGCCTCCAGACCTCCGTGGTTTACTCCCAGGTCACAGCAAGACTGTTCTGAATACCTCAGGTTTCTGTTAGACAGGTAAAAACTTAATGTCTTCTAATAAAAGTTGATTTCTGCTAAATCTTGTTTTTATATTTAAAAGACATATTTCAAGTGTTGATTTTTAAAATGCCCTTAAATCTATTGTAAATTTTCCTTTTGTTTTTTGTTTGTTTCTTTTTTTAATTTTCTTTAGGCCAGCACTTCTCAAAGGGCCCCTTAAGGTTTTCAAAACACTTTCAGGAGTCTGTGAGGTCTTCTGTCTTCCAGCCACAAATGTGTGGGAAGCCAGATTTCTTCACATACTTCATCCAGCAAAACATAGCAATGGATGAAATCCAGAGCAGATATAAGGATCCAGCTGTCTTCTGTTAAGCCAGATATTTAAAATATTTGCACTGAAAGAGTGCCATTCTTCTTGTCAGTTCTTTATTTTAGAAAGTATAACTTTCATTTAAGCTGTTATTTATGTTAGCCTGTGCTAGGTTTATTATTATTTAAATGTAATAGTTTTTCACTTTTATTCTATTGTGAGTATACTATAAGTCAAATAGATGTAACCCATATAAATGAAAGTTTTTGGGTTCCTTAGTTGTTTTTATAAAGGAATCTTAGAACCAAAGAACTAAGAGCTACTTCTTTGGATCAATTTATAACTGTGTTAGATTGGCATATTTTACTGTCTCCTTACCTTAATCAATAAAACTTATTATCTTTTTGTGTCTTCCCCTTTTTACTCCTCTAGAATATGAATGATAAAGTTAATTGAGCCCAACATGTGCCACCTTTCTTCCTTCCAGTTAAGGATGACTTCAAACATTCCATTGACTTTTTGTTGAGATGTAAGGTAGACAGAAATATGTGAGATAATTAAGGAAATAGGTTTAATGAACCATAATAAATACTATTAAATGGCACTGTAAGATAATAGAATGAGATTACAGAATAGTCATAGCCCTCTAACTTCTTTTCTATGTTCTCAAACTGTTATTCTTGACTAACAGAGAAGCTTAATTTTTAAATTAAGCATATTTGATAAAAAATAATTGTTTTTATAAGCTACCAATTTTTAAAATAGATATGAAATTTAAGCCTAAATGAAATAGCTATATAATTATATACTTTCCTGCAGGCTCCATGAAGAGGAAAAGTTACTGAAAGTTCAGTCTTTGCACAAGTCTTCTGAAAGCCTCGGGTGCAGTGAAAAGTCTCTACAGGAAGTAGTCAGTAAAGCAGCTGCACTAACAGAAACCCCCTGCACAAGTGATAGTGATAAGACTTTAATAGAAAAAATGTTTGGAGGAAAGCTACAAACTCACATACGTTGTTTGAACTGCAGGAGTACCTCACAAAAAGTAGAAGCCTTTACAGATCTTTCCCTTGCCTTTTGTCCTTCCTCTGCTGTGGAGAACTTGTCTTTCCAAGACCCAGCGTCATCGCCCAACATGCATGATGATGGCCTGCTCCAAACCATTGTGTCTGGTCCTTCAAAGGAATCAGTGGTGTATAATCCAGCAACAGCTGCCTTTGTCCATGATACAGTTGTGGATGAAAGAACAATACACAGTCTTCCTGATGAGTTTCACTGTGCTGACAGCACTTCTGTACCTAATGAATCTAACAGGATTCTTGCTAATAAAGATGTACCTCAAAAATCAGGAGGTGAAATCACACCTTCAGTGACTGACTTACTAAATTATTTTTTGGCTCCAGAGATTCTTACTGATGACAACCAATATTATTGTGAAAACTGTGCCTCTCTGCAGAATGCTGAAAAAACTATGCAAATCACGGAGGAACCTGAATACCTTATTCTTACTCTCCTGAGATTTTCGTATGATCAGAAGTATCACGTGAGAAGAAAAATTTTAGACAATGTGTCACTGCCACTGGTTTTGGAGTTGCCAGTTAAAAGAACTACTACTTTCTCTTCATTGTCAGAAAGTTGGTCTGTAGATGTTGACTTCACTGATATTAGTGAGAACCTAGCTAAGAAATTAAAGCCTTCTGGAACTGAAGAGACTTGCTGCCCCAAATTGGTGCCCTATCTGTTAAGCTCTGTTGTTGTTCACTCTGGTGTGTCCTCTGAAAGTGGGCATTACTATTCTTATGCCAGAAACATCACAGGTACAGAGCCCTCCTACCAGATGTGCCACCAGTCTGAAACTCTGGCTTTAGCCTCCTCCCAGAATCATTTACTAGGGAGAGAGAGTCCCAGTGCAATCTTTGAACAGGATTTGGAAAGTAAAGAAATGTCAAAAGAATGGTTTTTATTTAATGACAGCAGAGTGACATTTACTTCATTTCAGTCAGTCCAGAAAATCACAAGTAGGTTTCCAAAGGACACAGCATATGTACTTTTGTATAAAAAACAGAATAGCACTAATGGTTTAAGTGGTAGTAATCCAGCCAGTGGACTCGGGGTAAATGGAGATCCGCCTCTACAGAAGGAACTTATGGATGCTATAACAAAAGACAATAAACTATATTTGCAGGTAAGTTATACATGCTAGCTTTATTATTTGTGGAAAATATTAAACAGTTGAAAAGTGGTTAAATTAGTACCCTAATTTTAAAATCTAACAACTTTTTACAGGAATTCTGTAAATTTTTTTAAAGATTTCTTCTGCTTATTTGAAATGCAGAGTTACAGAACAAGAGAAGGAGCAACAGAAAAAGATCTTCCATCTGCTGGTTCACTTCCCACATGGCCACAACGACCAGGACAAGGCCAGGCCAAAGCTGGGAGCCAGAAATGTCTTCCCTATCTCCTGTGTGGGTGCAGAGGCCCACCCTTTGGGGCTTTCCCTGCTTTTCCCAAGCTGCTAACAAGGAGCTGGATCAGAAGGGGGACTGCCAGGACATGAACCAGTGCCCATACAGGATGCCAATGTCACATGCAGTTGCTTAACCTCAGTCACAAAGCTGATCCAAAAATCCCAAACTTGAGTAAGGGTTTATATGAAATGGACTCTACCTACTTAAATTGTTTTATTTTGTAACACTGTGAATGAAGTATGAAAACTTAAGAATTAGATGCACTTGAGATAATCTGTTTTTTTTAATTATAAAAGATGTGTTCACTACAAAATCATACAGAACACTTAATAAAAATAAAATACCTACCCCCGTTGTCCTCAATCCCACCCACCCTAAAAAATAGCTGTTAAATTTGAAATTTATTCCTGTAAAACCTTTGCGTAAATTTTTTAAAGATTGTTTAAGGAACATTAAGGAACATTAAGAAACAAAATAAAGAGAAAATTTTTTTTGTTCTTTATGGAGCTTAATAGTATAAATCAAAGAGATGATAAAGGGATTGGTAAATAAAAGCCAATGAAGGAAAATTCTGTATGAGATGAATTTATTCCTAAGTAGGCCTTCTTCAAGGAATTATTGCTGAAAATATTTTTCTTTGAATCCTGTCAACTTGGTGCCAGTATGAAGTTGTTAATGGGATAATGCAAATGATTTCAAGTTTTTAAATGAAAAATTTGTTTGAAAAGTCATAAAATTCCCAGAAGATAAATTAAAATAAGAAAAGTCCCAGCTGGTACACTTCCATCCCTGCTTCCTGCTAATAATTCAGCAGGATGGAAGATCTTTTTCTCTTTCTCTCTCTCTCTCTAACTCTGACTTTGAAATCAATACATCTTTGAAACAAAATCCAATAAAAAACATTCAGTGGACCAATGTAGTCCTGATTTTTTGATGGAAAATTTTGCAGAATTGTTCAGATTTGCTGTTATCAGTACCCAAATTAGAATATATGATAGGTTTTAAGATTTTTAATTTGAAAGGCAGAGTTACAGAAAGAGGAAAAGAGAGAGAGACAGAACGTCCATCTGATGGTTCGCTCTAAAATGACCACAACAACCTAACCTTCAACAGAAACTCCACATGGGTGCAAGGGCAAACATAGGGCCAGAAGTGACTCACCTAGAACTCCAACTGGTGCATGTATGGAATGTCTGCATATCTGCCAGCAGCTTAACATTGCTACACCACAGCTCTAGCACCACATGATAGATTTTTAAAGGAATACATCAGTACTTTATATGACACAAAGGAGTCAATATTTGGCACTGGAGTATGTTTGTCAACTGAAACATTTTGTGGGGTAGACATTACATAGCAGAGACAAAAATTATAAATGCTGTAAATGACATAGTAGAAGAAAAACATTTTTAATAAGTATTTCACAAAATAGATTTTAAAAGTCCCTATCAGTTAGGGACTTTTAAACCAGGGACTGGTTAAATAGGCCATGCTGTTACCAGAAATTCTTATCGAAATTTTCTTTAAACCACAAAACAGATATTTATCATTCTGAGTTTTGAGAGTTACACAGTACTGGCTGGATACACTACTGTGAAATAAGTTGTCTGTAATATGAGGAATAAATACCAACCTGGTTTGTTTTCCTGTATACTGAAAAACTGAGCCTCATTTAAGGGGGAAGAATAGTTACTTTAAACATTTAGCTAGAAAATTTAAGAGTATTACCTTATGAAATGTAGCAAAGTTACGCGACTGAATTGGAAAATTGCAAATAAAGTTTTTTATTTATTTTTTGGGAGGCAAAAACGGAGACAGAGCTTCCAGCTCCCCAAATGCCTGCAGTGTCTGAGGCTGGGCCAGTACCAAAACGAGTAGCCAGGAGCACAACCCAGGTCTCCCACATGGGTGGTAGGAGCCCAGTTACTTGAATCATCACTGAAGCTCTGCACTGGCAGGAAGCTGGAGTTAGGAGTTGGAGCCAGGAATCAAACCCATCTACTCCAGTGTGGTATGTAGGCATCTTAACCACTGAACTACATCCTGGCTCCCCAAGTTTTGTTACTAAGGCTTATTGTATGTTGAAAATTCCTCTGGATGATTACGCTAACAAGGACTATTCAGTTAGCAGTGTCTTTTAGACTTTATTATCAGCAATCACATATGTCTGAAAAATGGGAACGGAATGTTCTGTGTATTCTTTCAGGAGTTTCAAGGAATTTTTATATCCAGTTTAACACCTTGCTAGATGAATATGCCATTATTTATTGTTCTGGTTGAAGCTGAATACCTAATAGTATTCTAACCTGTGATTATTAATGTTGAATACCTAATATTTGCTTGCCATATTGATGAATACACCAGAATAATAAAGCTTGTAAGGGAAATTTAAGTGCTACTATAAAGCAGTAGGCTTTACTTCTCAATGTTTTTTCTTTATACTTATTATTTGTTGAGAAATAAAAACAAGAAAGGGGTAGAAAGAAGTCAGACTTCTTCCCTTTAAACCTTTGATGTAATCACTTTCAAAGTAGGTTCAGTGAATAAAGAGTTGATAGTCCATTTTGCTAATGTTTAAATTCAGCAATCTGTGTAGTGGAAGTGAAATCTATTAATGTACATATTTGTATTTTTGTATATTCATATATGTATGTACATATATATTATAAAATATACGTATGAATGTTACTGTAGCTGTTATATTTTTCTGAGAAATTTTGTAATTTAGGGTCTTCAGGGTCCTGGACCTCTTGAGACATGAGATAGTAAAACAAAGTAACTTAGAATCTGTCATTACAAAGAGTTTATGCCAGGATTTCTTTCTCTTGCTTGCTCTTAAGGTACTCATGCGCTTCACTAGAATTTGGTAAGGTTTAGTGTCAGTATTTTTAATGGTACTGAAATTTGAATCATGCTTATTAAGGATTACGTCAGATTTAAGTGGTGTATGGGTAATATACCCATCCTCTATATTTATATTTTAATTTCATAAAATTGTTTTTCATTTTAGGAACAAGAGTTGAATGCTCGAGCACGGGCCCTACAAGCTGCATCTGCCTCCTGTTCTTTTCGGCCCAATGGATTTGATGACAATGACCCCCCAGGAAGCTGTGGACCCACTGGTGGAGGGGGAGGAGGAGGATTTAATACAGTGGGCCGACTCGTATTTTGATGCTAAGAGAGTCCAAAATGCATTGATCACAAAATATCCAATACTATGACTGTTAAAATGTCATACTGTAACAAATATCATATCTTTATTTTTTCTTTTCATTAGACCCTTATAATTTAAGAAAACACACTCAGTGCTTGTTTTTATTTTCTAATACATTTATCAACAAAGTGCATCATGGGGAAAAAAATCTACCTCTTAAAATTCCACTTGCTTCTATGGTTAGATATGCTTGACCAAAAATTGTTTGGAGTAAAATATGTACCTAGTCTAATTAAGCTGCATTAAATCTGGTAGAAGCATTTTAAATGGTCTACTCTCAGTTTTACTGAACAAAATATGTAATTGATCTAGCATTCTTTATTAAAAAAAATTGATAGTAGAGGTAAGGAAAAATTTTCTAAAAGAAATTTATTTCCAGTGTAGTTATCCCATATTCAAATTTTTGAAAATACTGGAGATGACACATTCTCTAATGAAGGCAATAATTTTAACATAAAATTTATCAAGCAGTAATACTTTCAGGTTTTTGTTTAGTACTATCTTAAGCATCACTGTATCTACATTACAAGTACAAATGCTAAAAAGGATTATTTATACAAATATGTTGAATGAATTGATTTTAAGAAAGGTGCATGATTCTGTAGGAGCAATGTTTTTACGTAAAAATTGCTAACTGTAGTATTTCTAATTGTTCAAAGATTTTAAAATTCTATTTCAGGGAGTATATCTTGTGTGTGTTTTGAAGGAGGTGAGTTCTGTATGTGCCTTGTAGTACTGTAATTTAAAAATAGAAATATTTGGCTGCAGAAACTTTTTTTTTATGAAATGTTAGGAAGTAAAATTTTGTGCTAACATTAAAATTATAACTTTTGAAAGGTATTAGATTTTCCAAAAGTAAAATATGATGGTTCTAAATCAATAAGTGTGATAGTTTGTTTTTAACTCTTAGAACAAATTCAGAGGAAATGAACCTAGTTAAGTAAAAAATCATTTTTGATTTTATTACTTAATGCTCAGAATATTAAGCATTGAGTGAATATGTTCAGAGTTCCATATTTGGGGGTTTTGTTTCTCTGAGTCGTGTATTTTACATAATTGTTTCTCTTTCCTAGATTTAGATAAAGTGTTAAAATGCTAGAGTTTTCTTTTACCAGGAAACTGGGAACACATCAGTTCAGTTCACATGGGTCTTGATTATGTAGCACAAGAGTTATCCCAACTGCCCACTTTCCTAAAGATTTCAACTTATCCATGGATGTTCATTGTTCGGAAGAGTGGTCTCATTTATTTTGAAAACATTTTAAGGAAAGAATGTTCTTTGGTGATTTGGAATTTATTTTTTTCCCAAGCTTTTATGGCAGTGGTTAAAAACAGAACTCCCACCTTCATTCCACTGCCTGCTACTTGTAACCTATGTTCAGTCACCAGGAAGATTAGAAAGTGAATTGAATTGAAAACTGAAAATTCCTTTCAAAATTAACTAAGAATCCTCTTCCCTATAAATGAATGAAGCAGAAGAACTTTTATCATTTGTTCCTATGAGCTTTCTCTTGTCCTAGCAGTATAAGATATGCTTTATAATTAGTTATCCATGGATCAAATAGTGATTTATCAGGTTATATCCATCCTAGCATGTATTAAAATTGGTGCTCTCATTTCATGCTTGGTAGATATTGGGCCAAGATACTTTTAGGAACCTTCATAAAGACAGTTTGATTTACACAGTCTTATATATAAATGTTTTTCATAGTTTGTGTGTGTCATATTGTATGTTAAATTTTCAGAATGACAATGAAATATGAAATTCTGATGCTATTCAAATTATAATGTGATACCTATATTTAAAAACCTTGATGTTCCTTATAAAATTTAAAAATGAGAAGAATTTTATATACTAAGTTATCATATTGGTCTATCAGGCATATTTCTGATAATTAAACTTCAGTACCTCATTTACCAGATTTGAAAAAAAATTACAACCAAAATAATAAGCTTCATTCAAAACCCCATCCAACTGAATTTTTGAATAACTCTTTTGCTCTAATGCTAACAGTCCTGTGACTTAATTTCAACTCTGTTTGTTAGGCCTTTTATTTCTCCTGTATTTCTAACTCTACTGTTTACCTCTGACAAATGTTTTTATGAAATCTGTGAGGGCTAACTAGTACATTGCTGCCATTCCTCTCTAGCTCCATCCAAGATTATCAGTTTAAATGAAGTAGTGTGTTGCTGCTGAAAGCAGTGCATTAGGTTCCACTACTAACAGAAATGAGTAAATGGATATTTGAGTATTTTCCTTTCAAAAATACTTGTTGACACAATGAGAAAAGTAGAATTTTTTTCCAGAGAAATGTGAAGAAGGAAATGTATGTTGTGTGGTCATGTAAACCTGGGCAAAGTGTCTGGTAACAGGTGGCCCTTCAGCTTTGGTTCATGATATTTACATAGCTCAGCAAATGGGAAGAATTATTCACTGCCTTTCTAGCTCAGTAATCAGAGAGGCAGGTAGTGTAGAAAGAGGGATTCCTGACTCCGGACTCCATATTTTCAAATATCAGAACTTTGGCTATAAAGATCCCTAATGAAGCATAGAGGTATTGGGAATTCTTGTGGAAGATGTAAAGAGCCAATAATATTAATTTACAATTCAGAGAACAAAAATATTTCAAAACTATCTCTGTAAAGTTCAACTTTCTAATGTTCTTTGCTCCTTTGGTTTATTTTGATATACCATCTCTTTTAAGCTATCTTCTGATAAGACAAGATTGGCAGCTTATTGTGTGCCCAGCTTAGTTTAAGAAAACAAAATTGGCATACAGTAATTATTGAAAATCACCATTTTGATGTTATGTACTTTGCTTCAGATCTTAATTCTCATATCACTTTGTATTACTGATTAGTTTATGTAACATACTAAACACAATGCTTTTGAGTTAAGTACTTCACATACTATAATTCCTATAGGTTTTATATAATACTTTATTTATAAAATACTATGATTTATATATACTTTCACCAGCTATGTTTTTTTAATGAGTTGAGATTTCTAAAATTAACTAGTAAAGTAGAAAGGAGTAAGTTAGCTCATATTTTACAAAAACAACAACAACAACAAAAAACTTTAGGACATGTTAACTTTTAAGTTTTGTTTTATTTTATGTATTTGAAAAATGGGCAGAGCTCCCATCTGGTGGTTCACTCCCAAAGGCCTACAATGAGAAAATGGGTCAGGGCTGAAACCACGAGCCAGGAATAATGCAAGTTTCTTACATACATGGCCGGAACTCATTACTTGAGCTATCACTGTTGCCAATTAGCATCTGTTTTTACAGGATCCAGGAGTCAGGAGCCAGAGCCAAGAATCAATTCCAGGTACTCCACTATGTAAGACAATGTCTTAACGGCTACACTGAACACCCATTTGTAATTGGCTTGTTTTTATTGGAAAGTCAGATACACAGAGAGGAAGAGAGACAGAGAGGAAGATCATCCACCCACTGATTCATTCCCCAAGTGGCCACAACAACTGAATCTGAGCCTATCACAAGCGGGAGCCTCTTCCAGGTCTCCCGCATGGTTGCAGGATCCCAAGGCTTTAGGCTATCCTCGACAGCTTTCTCAAGCCACAAGCAGGGAACTGAATGGAAAGTGGGGCCGCAGGGATGTGAACTGACGTCCATATAGGATCCCAGTGTGTGCAAGGCAAGGACTTTAGCCACCTGGCTACTGAGCTGAACCTGCGTGTATTATATTCTTAAGTGTTCGTCAAACTGGCAAGTATCTTCATATTCTTAATTTGTTTTACTAGCCATTTTTCATTGAGTTATTTTTTGTATATGAATCTAATTCAGTTGAAGGAGAGATTTTTTTGTGTTTTGTTTTTTGTTTTGTTTGTAAGACTCAAGCTAGACAGTACTTCAATGGAAAAAATAAAATGAATGTGTTTTTTTAAAAAAAGAAAACCTGCTTTCCATATGAAATTTCTAAAGATTTTTTTCCCCAAGAATTAAAAATGAAGATTTTTATAAGATCTATACTCTGGGTTTTATGAATTTGGAAGGATTTGTTATATGAAGCCTTTTGCCCTAATGTTACATAACTAGTGTGGATTTACCATTAAAAATAGAATCTAAGAAGTCAGCCAAGTATATTGCCAGCTCTCGTCAGTGTCTGTCACGGCCTGCAGTTGTTTTTCTCTCAATCTCCAGTTTTGCTGTGTGTGCTAGATAGACTTTCACACACTCCTACCTTGATTTCAGAAAGATGAGGTTAGGCTTGCCTGCCCAAATCAGTGGCTATCAACCTTTCATGTTAGAATTGCTTGGACAGTACTTAAAAAAAAAAAAAAAACAAAGAAAAACCTAAATCCAGGCCTCATCCCAGACCGATTATATTGGAACTGGACATCAGCATTCTTTAAAATTGCTCATGTGAATTTAATATACAGCCTGAGTTGTGAAGTTCTCTGCTAGAAAAAGAGATTTTTTTTCCCCTAGGGTTTTCATCCAAGAGAGCTAACGTATGTTGAGTTTCTAACAGATTCCTGCACACTGGCAGATGTTTATGTCTTTTGAACTTAAGCAGTCCTGTAAGTAGGCTTATATCCATGCTCCTCCTCACCCGTTTAATGTTAAAGAAGACAAAGGCTCAGATTAAGCAGCACGCTCAACATAGTTCATAAAACTCAAAGCTCCAAGTCTTAATCCAATACTACAGAAATCCAAAGTCAGTGCTTCGATGGGGAAACAGCAACAAGAAGATGTGAGCAAACGGATTCAGCACATTACACATTAAAATCTTACATTTTAGGAAATAAAGCTTCTACGGTCTGTTTCATTCACCCTTTCACATTCCAAGCATGAATCCTTAAAAAAAGAAGAGATCTGCTTTTATTAAAATCTATATGGGGTAAATCTACAAGTTTGAGAAATATAGTTCGCTCCACACGTCTCTCACCTCATTTCTGTCCATCCTTATCAGCATTGGGCCTTACATCATTTTTACTCGAAGATGCATCTTTGCTGTCTCTATGTAGGTCACAGGGTAGCCTGGCAGTCTCCTCATCCCACATTCTCCTTCCTGCTTTCACTTGACTGATTGCTGCTCACTTTCAGTGTACTGTAATCTTAATACTAACCTCCCAAACTGGTCCATCCCCACTCTTATCCTGGCTTGTATTTTCTGTTCTTTTGAAAAGGCTTTGCGTTGCTAATAGAGCTAAATCAGCTTTGGAGCAAAGGCTTATCTTTCACACCCCCACAAAGATGAAAAGAAAACTGAAATGATCCAGTTTTGTTTGAATTCTGATAGGAATTTAACTACATTGGAACAAAATCTTAACACAAGTTAGAGGAATAAACATAGCATTTTAGGAAATAAGGTACACAATATCCAGCATCTGATCAGAAGTTAACCTGTGTTCAAAGAAGGAAAATGTCATTCAGATGCAGGAGAAAAAAGAAAAGCACTTTACAGATGATGTGTGGCTCTTGGGTAGAGAAAGCATCAGTCACAAAATCTGCAGGCCAAAAAGCAGTGGAATGACATTCAAAATGTAGACACAGGATGGACCTCAACCCGAGTATACACCACATCCAGTGAAAATAATCATTAAAAGTGAACATGAAATGGATATTTTTAACCAAAAATAGTTTTTCTTTGAATGTTTGCACTGCAAGGTAACACATGAAAGGAAATTCTTCAGACTGAAGGAAAGTGTTGCCAGATGGAAATTTAGATCTATACAAAGGAAGGAACCATGTTGAAAACATTTGACACCATTGATTTGATTTACAGAATATTCAGGGAAGAAGGAACAGCTTTAGAAAGCTCTAGATTTACTCTGCACCTGTGGGCAGCAATTTGGAGTTGTGCTGTATCCACCATGCACCAAGCACATGGTATACAAGCAAAAGACTCCCAGGAACAGAAGCATACGCATGGATTAGAGCAGTAGTGGACAAAAGTCACCTTTGCTATGGAAAAAAAAACAAAACAGTGTAACAATGGTTTACAAATGAATGTTTAGAATAAATGATTTTAGTAAGTTTGTTAAAGCAAACTCTAAAATTCAAATGGATAGATGTTTAATGGGTATGTAGATAGAGATGGCAGAGTTAAGTGATACAGTATAAAATTTTTAAATTCCATGTGTAATAATAGAAATAAGCTTTACAGAAATCTATAAATTTAATGATTTTGAAATAAAAGTTACATAAGACCATAAAATACTATAAATCAATATTTAGGAAATTAAAGATTGTTAAAGTAAACCATGACTTACAATGCTGATTATTTTTTCTCAAGCTAATTTATAAAATGAATGCAGTCTCAAGAAATTTGTTTTTCTTTGATTGAATACTTGATTCTAAAATGTAAATGTAAAAATTCTAGAAATTGTCAAGACTCTTGGAAATAAAGATGACTTCCTTTCCAGAATAACAGTTCTTTTTAAAGCAGAAATAATAACTAAGATAGTATGGACTGATTTTTCCAATCAGAAAAGAGAAGGATAGATAGATATACATATATGCACACACACACATATAGTGTATATACATATATATGCCTAATTTGTGACAAAAATAAGGTGACTGTCCATTCTGGTATAAGATTAAGGCTGTTCACAGGAGACATAAATTTCCTAACAAACAATGAAGTCGCAAGCAAATTGCAACAAGTTGGTTATTCTAGACACATGAAACACTTTCCAGCAGTGTGTACAGGTTTAACTTTTCAGTACATTTTAGTGGTACAATGAGATAATGATGTAGCACAAAACAAACCTAGTCTTTCACCCTGCATACAAAAATATTGTGGAGTCAGGCATTTAGCATGTTAGTGAAGAAGCCTGCACACCTCATCACTCCCCAGCTCTGACTCCTGACTCCTATATTCCACTCCTATATTCTGCAAATATACAGCCTGGCAGGGTAGGGGAACAGCACTAATGGCTCAGATGCTTGCATTCCCAACTCCTGGTTTCAGATATGAAGTAAACTATTTGATAAGAGCTCTCTACATTTATCAATTTGTGTTTATTTTGCAGTGGCACATTGCATATAATTTTGTCCACTGATAATTCAAATAGACGTTTAAAAATAGGGCCTGGCGTAATAGACTAGTAGCTAAATCCTCACCTTACATGCCTGGGAACACAAAAGAGCTCCAGTTCCTGTCCTAGCTGCTCTACTTTTCATCCAACTCCCTTCATGTAGCCTGGGAAAGTAGTCGAAGATGTCCCAAACCCTTGGGACCCTGAGCTCACATGGGAGACATGAAGCAGCTCCTGGTTCCTGGCTTCAGATCAGATCAGAAACGCTCCAGTTATTGTGGCCACTGGGAAAGGAATGAGGGAGCCGATGGAAACTCTTTGTCTCTCCTCTCTGTAAATGTGACTTTCCAATAAAAATAAATATATCTTTAAAGAAAAAATTTTAAATAGAAATTCTGACAGCTCTTTTAAAATTGAACTTGTAGAGTATAAGACTAGAAGAAGGAAAGAAGTTCTGAAAGAACCCTAGTGATGGGTGATTCGCCTAAAGTTAAAGACCTGAAGAAAGTTGAAAAGGATGAAAGCGAATCACTTGCATTATGTAACTGAATACCCATTTTAAATTAAAATATTAGCGCTTTGAGTGTATTAGTCATATTTCAGTGACCTTGGTTACATTGATAGGATTGATGAACTATAGCAGTGACTAACTACATTTTGTTATTTTATACCTTTCCCTATCTAGTCAATTGTCTAGATACCCCTTATAAAAAATTTTAAAAATCAAATAGCTGTTATCTAATTATAAAATAAATTAAAATGCTTTAAAAATCCTGAGTACCTATTTTCTTGGCAGTTTCAGACCCAATTCTATTTAGGGACCAGACCATATATAGCTTTTAAAAGAGGCTAATATGAATATTAATAGATTCTCCATTATGATGCAACAAATCAAGAAGTATTTTTTTAAACCAGTCTGCAGCTGAAAAGAAAAGTAATAAGTCATAATATTTTGCTTGACTAATTCAGTCATCTTGTCTTCTTTTTCAGTTTTTCCCCTCCTTAGATCTTGGGTTATAATCTTCTCTACTTCCTAGCATTGTCCT